CAGAAATGTGGTCACCACATCTACGCCTCTATATAAGGAACGAAACAGACTTCTCTACAAATATGTCTGTCGCCTGATGAAGCTAGTTGTAATTACTGGCGAAACGTCGTACTCAGATTGTAAATGTTGTGGCTTGGCTCTCCAACACATCGGTTAGTGCTGTACTCGTGACGAATTGGCACGTTCTGTTTACGTGACAACCCTTACTAGTTGGCTGTGTCGGGATTTAACGACATATGTATATATTTACGCGATCCAACCCAAAAAACCTCTATGGCCAGATTGTGTTCTCTGTACAAGCAGTTACCACGTGCGTGCCGTCTTCCACAGGTGTTTAATTATAATCAGCATTTATTGTGCTCTTGTAGGTCCGGGTTGCGTATATTCTGTATGTCTTGTGTAAATGACGTGTGTTAATCTTGCGTAGACAGTCTCCCTGACGCCAACACGCGGCGTTTATACATTATGCATGTGAAGCACATGCCCTAAGTGGTGTTTCTGTACCGCAATCTCACCCAGCGCCACCTCTGTCTAGTGCTATATTTATGTCACATACGTGTTGTGTGAATCTTACGCGTGCGTGTGTATACAGAGTACTGTATTAACAGCCGGGTGCCCACTCCCTGTCCCTGATTTGCTGCAGGGTAAATATTGAACAATAGTCTTTTGCCCGTCCAAGGACGGGTGTATTGCAGCTAATCTGAAACGTGCAAGCGAAAAGCAGAGCGCGACGTGATATATTCATTGCATTAATGTGTGTGCAATTTGTAAGGGTGCGTTGACACAGATCTATTTCATTTTAAGGTTATAATCCCTTGTTCATCATGACGTCCTTTTTACTTCGATGTCTCAACAGCGTTACGGAGATCACGTGATGACGTGAGGGTTCTGCCTTTGTAGTGAGGGTTGTGAGTTGACGTCGAGGAGGGGAGAGGAGGCGCCTCGGCCCCCCCATGTGGAGTGACGTCACCTGCTAATTATTATGAATGGGGGGGGGGGGTCCATTTGGAGGACGTCAGCTGTTAATGATTATTAATGAGGGGGGTTGTTTGATGTGGAGTTACGTCACCTGCTCATGATTATTAATGAGCGGGGAGGGTGCTCCATGTGGTGGATGTAACCTGTTCATGATTATTAATGAGGGGGGCTGGTCGATGTGGACAGACGTCACGAGCGTTAAGGAGGGACATTCTTGGGTGATTATTGTCGGTATAGTGCTACGCATCTTACATTCGTCGATGACTCGGAATGTGCCCGATCTCCTTAAATCTCGGAAGCTAAGTCGGGTCGAGCCTGGATAGTGTTTTGATGAGCAATCATCGTCCATGTGCAACTACGCTGTCAGCAGAGGCCAGTTACAGCAAAATCTATAGTTGTACTGTACTATGCTCACATATACCCCATCCACATCCGGCTCGACTTCACAAACACACACACACTGACCAGCGTGGTGAAGTATGGTCAAATAACCCCCACGACCCACACGGTGTAGGGAAGGCCTCAGTCAGCAGTGAATTGGCAACAGGACTGCGCACATGCGTATTACAGTATACCAGATGCAGTATATTGCATGCGTTTGGAAAGCGTGCATGATCTCGATTTCACGCGCCCGATGGCGTTTTATGAAGGACTGAATGTACGTGTTATAATTTTAATGCGATCACCGCTGCTGCCGGGGCCCCGTCTGTGCTGCAGGGAGTGCGGGGTACTTTATGATTCTCCTGAAAGTGATTTTCTGCTAAAATCTGAGCATCGGTTCGGTGCTCTCATCTCCAGTTCTCAAGCTTAAAGTCCCGAGATAGTCGTGGGAATTCCACGTTGCTGTGGCGGGCGATTCTCTCCATTGGGAAACCACTGTCGACTTCCCCACAATGTGGTACACACGGACACCAGTGCACAACGTGATGGTACGATCTATATATGCACAGAACCGTAGTACTCCGATTAGCACGCTTGGCAACTAACAGTGCGAAAGAGGTTCAACATTCTTACGGTAGTAATGTACCGTAACCGCTATTGGCCTTAATGTTCAGTATACGCTGCACCGTGCATGACAGTGTTTACAGGCAGTATATAACCTAAACTATTTTAACTATTTTTTTTTTCACCAGGTAAGGCCCAATGAACGTTCTACCTGGCCATAAAGGTCAACGAAGTGACTTATCACGTGCAAATGTATAGCAGCATAATACTCTAAATATATGTTCCTTAATTGGGGAGAAAAAACCCAGAGGACCCGGAGAAAAATCCTCACGACCACGGGGAAAGAGAGATGCAAACTCCAAATAAACGAGTGTCGGGATCGAACCCACGACCTCCTGCATACCAGGCGAGGTAGTTAACATCTCCTAGCCACCGTGGCACCATATAATACTGTAGTGTCAAATAATTCAGCAGCTGCAGCATCCAAATAAGCAGCATCTGCAGCATCCAGAAATCCACTTTTGGATGAAGATCTCCCCCAAATCTGCATCCACCCCTGCTCCATACGACCCTGCGATGCAGCAACAAATCCATGCAGCACCTGTACAGTGCAACTGACTGTGCGATCACCAGCATCTTCATTGAGACTGCAGGAGAAAATCCGATGAGCTGTGAAGCTCTTTTTTTTCACAGACGTCCAGTATGGGGTGGGTCAGCAATTTACAACAGCAAACAAGAGAACAAAAACCGATAGGAGTGCAACATAAAAGAAAATGGTAAGAAAGTCACTAAATACGAAGAGGTAATAAATGCATTCATTATATACGTCAAATTTATCCAGATTTGGCAAGGCAGAAGCAGAAAAAAAACAACAGTTCGATAACGATCACGCCAAGATAACAGGCCAGTAAGTGCAGGGTTTTTTCCTCGTGTTCAAGAGAGGGGTGCCACTTTGGCCGATAAGACATCGCCAGCTGTGTGTGAGGCACCGCCACACATTTGAAACCATTGGAGGTTTGACAGCAGCACGATATGACTTGATTCTCCAACACACCGGTGTGCTGTACTAGTGACGAATTGCCACGTGACGTCTACGTGACAACCCTTACTAGTTGGCTGTGTCGGGTGGTGGCGGGATTTAACGACACATTGATATATTCATGCAATCTAACCCAAAAAAACTTCTATGATGGACGATGATCATGATGATGATGGAAGGGGGGAATGGGGTGGGGGCGTTGTTTTCGCGTTAGTTCGTGTATCACCAGGGGCCACACTAAAGGCCATAGAGGGGCCTCACTAAAGGCCACAGAGGGGCCGCACTAAAGGCCACCAGGGGCCGCACTAAAGGCCACCAGGGGCCGCACTAGAGGCCACCAGGGGTCGCACTAAAGGCCACCAGGGGCCACACTAAAGGCCACCAGGGGTCACACTAAAGGCCACCAGGGGTCACACTAAAGGCCAGAGGGGTCACACTAAAGGCCAGAGGGGTCACACTAAAGGCCACCAGGGGTCACACTAAAGGCCACCAGGGGTCACACTAAAGGCCACCAGGGGCCGCACTAGAGGCCACCAGGGGTCGCACTAAAGGCCACCAGGGGCCACACTAAAGGCCACCAGGGGTCACACTAAAGGCCACCAGGGGTCACACTAAAGGCCAGAGGGGTCACACTAAAGGCCACCAGGGGCCACACTAAAGGCCACCAGGGGTCGCACTAAAGGCCACCAGGGGCCACACTAAAGGCCACCAGGGGCCACACTAAAGGCCACCAGGGGCCGCACTAAAGGCCACCAGGGGTCACACTAAAGGCCACCAGGGGTCACACTAAAGGCCAGAGGGGTCACACTAAAGGCCACCAGGGGCCGCACTAAAGGCCACCAGGGGTCGCACTAAAGGCCACCAGGGGCCACACTAAAGGCCACCAGGGGCCGCACTAAAGGCCACCAGGGGTCACACTAAAGGCCACCAGGGGTCACACTAAAGGCCAGAGGGGTCACACTAAAGGCCACCAGGGGCCACACTAAAGGCCACCAGGGGTCGCACTAAAGGCCACCAGGGGCCACACTAAAGGCCACCAGGGGCCACACTAAAGGCCACCAGGGGTCACACTAAAGGCCACCAGGGGCCACACTAAAGGCCACCAGGGGTCACACTAAAGGCCACCAGGGGCCATACTAAAGGCCACCAGGGGTCACACTAAAGGCCACCAGGGGCCACACTAAAGGCCACCAGGGGTCACACTAAAGGCCACCAGGGGTCACACTAAAGGCCACCAGGGGTCACACTAAAGGCCAGAGGGGTCACACTAAAGGCCAGAGGGGTCACACTAAAGGCCACCAGGGGTCACACTAAAGGCCACCAGGGGTCACACTAAAGGCCACCAGGGGCCGCACTAGAGGCCACCAGGGGTCGCACTAAAGGCCACCAGGGGTCACACTAAAGGCCACCAGGGGCCATACTAAAGGCCACCAGGGGCCGCACTAGAGGCCACCAGGGGCCATACTAAAGGCCACCAGGGGTCACACTAAAGGCCACCAGGGGTCACACTAAAGGCCAGAGGGGTCACACTAAAGGCCAGAGGGGTCACACTAAAGGCCACCAGGGGTCACACTAAAGGCCACCAGGGGTCACACTAAAGGCCATAGAGGGGTCACATCAAAGGCCACCAGGGGCCTCGCTAAAAGCCACCAGGGGTCACACTAAAGGCCACAGAGGGGTCACACTAAAGGCCACCAGGGGTCACACTAAAGGCCACCAGGAGCCGCCAGTGGCCTTCCAATGAAGAACACCGCCAGTAGCCCCCCCCCCCCCTCAACACGTCACATTCACATCGAACTATCGATAACACAGGTGATCAAGAGTCACCCGCTCTGGCGGTCGCTTCGTCTGCGTTGTTCGTAGCAGCACCCGCGGTCAGCGTGGCATCGGCCAGCTGTCGTGTCAGAATCTGAATATTGATCCTGGACGAATCCGATGAGCTTCGAAGCCAATTTTGTTTTTTGTTTCACCCCATCCCACCCCCATCACACCCACAGACGTCCAAGCCGAGTCCGTATCTACCCCAAGACGCACTCACCGCTGCCCGCCTCGCGGTCTCTGATGTGCTGCAGGGAGGCCGCGCCACCGCCGCCGCCGCCGCTGTCTTCGCTGCGCGTCTCGGCGTCGAAGATGCGAACGCGGTCCAAGCTGCGGGCACCAGGGCCCTCGCGAGGGCTGTCGGGCACGCAGCACGACGCCACGTTCCCCATGCCTACGCCATGCGTCTTGCTCCCGCGCTCTGTGGCGGTAGCGGCTTGTGGTTGTTGTTGTTGTTTGGCTGCTGTTGTTGTTGTCGATATCTCAGCGGTGTTTGTTGAAACTGCTGCTTGTTTTGCGAGAGCCGGGCCCCGGATTCACGCTTTACAGCTGCGCGCTCATTGGCTCGGCGTCTGTCACGTGGAGGCGACGGAGACACGCCCACGCCGCGTGGACACGCCCCCTCATCTCCAGCCCCGCACTCCTCTACTTGCGAACACTCGACTTACGAACAGTCAGAGATACGAACAAAACCGAAGAGTATGAATCGTTGCAGTCACGAAAGCTTCAAATCTAGAAGAAACCTGCCCCTATGTCCAGTTGCCCGTTTGGTCTGAGAGTCGTGAGTTCAACCGCCGCGCAATAGATGGCGGTGGTGCAGAACATGAAGAACCAGTGGCATCTACATCTGCAGAACGTGAAGAACCAGTGGCATCTACATCTGCAGAACGTGAAGAAGCAGTGGCATCTACATCTGCAGAACATTAAGAACCAGTGGCATCTACATCTGCAGAACGTGAAGAACCAGTGGCATCTACATTTGCAGAACGTGAAGAAGCAGTGGCATCTACATCTACAAAACATTATGAACCAGTGGAATCTACATCTACAGAATATGAAGAACCAGTAGCATCTACAACTGCAGAACGTGAAGAACCAGTGGCATCTACATCTGCAGAACGTGAAGAACCAGTGGCATCTACATCTGCAGAACATTAAGAACCAGTGGCATCTACATTTGCAGAACGTGAAGAACCAGTGGCATCTTCATCTACAGGAGATTGCATGCCTTTTGAAGCCATTCCCCATGTTTAGTGTACATGCCGTACAACGTATTTGGAATCGACAGGAGTAAAGTTGGACTTAAGAACAAATCGACTTACGAACAGACCTCTAGAACCCTTTTCGTAAGTAGAGGAGTCCCTGTACATCAAAACATGGCCCGTCAATCAGAATCTTTACTTAGACTGGAGGAGGAATCCGATGAGCTGTGAAGCTCTTTTTCGTCACAGATGTCCAGTAAGAGGTGGGTGGGTCAGAAAGTTACACCAACAGACAATGAAAAAAAAACACGATAGGAGTGCAAATTATAGGAAAGGTAAGCGAATCACAAAAAATACAAATAAACATTTTTTTTCCCATGTAATGCCCACTGAGCTATGAGCTTCTTTTTGAAGAAACGACCTGGCCACAAATGATAGCCCAACGAAGTGGCTTATCATGTGGACATTTATAGCAGCCACATATTCTGACCCGGAGAAAAATCCATGCGGCCACGGGGAGAATATGCAATCTCCAAATATACAGCAGGCGTCAGGGTCAGGATCGCACGCACGACCTCCTGTGTACCAGGCGAGGTAGTTACCATATTGCCACCGCCGTACCGCCCCCGTGTCTTCCACGACCAGCACACCCTCTCCTCCCTAACTCTTCATCGTGGACAGTGTGGCTTGTAACACATGCAAGGTTAAGCCAATGTTGGCATGTGGTTGGACCCGTTGGACCAACGTTGGCACAACGTTCCACGTTTTGTTCGTGTTTTAAGGCGTTTTCAGATTCAGCGGCATGTATGGACCTAATGTATGCAATTCCTGATCAACGTGCAAATTAAGGCTAGAAAGTGCACACGTTTCATCGTTAGGGAAGTACTGTATAGCGGAATTTCAACAACACAAAGTGAAAGGTCCACCATATAGCAGACACTGGCTGTTGGAGCAAGCGCTCTTAGCAAGCACTTCTGAAGGCCACCGTGACACACAAGAGGATCGGTCAGTCGTGTGGTCAGAGCCACGCCCAGCCACCTTTGTCTCCCAAGTCCCGATGTTTAAGCACCGCACCAGGTTGCGATTTAAGGCTATGTCGACCCGTATGAGGCCCTGGATCAGTGCAATTATTCGTTACTGATGTTAGCCGTGTGTGGGAATCGCCACTGATTGCCACTGCACTGCAGCTCCCCAATGCAACAACAAAGACAAAAAGACATATCCACACAGTGTTGGAAAATTCCAAATTTAACTCGTCCACTTCTCCCTGGCAAGTCATAATTAAAATTATGGCAAGCAGAGTTGACAGCGACGCTGAGTGTTAGGAGATACATGTAAAAAAATCTGCTAACTCACTGGATGCTGAACTAGGTGGGTGGGTGGGGGGTTAAGATAACGCACCACAATCAGCCTCTCCCCTCCAGGCAAGGCAGCATTCTGATTGCCCATGCCAACGCATGGACCGCATTCCCACCCTCGCTCACAGCGTCCACGCAATGCACGCACGCTTGCCTCTGCGTCCCAATGCATGTCCACGCACGAGACCGAGGAACCGTGCAAGCGCAGTCGCGTATGAGGAATAGCGCTTACAGGGAAGCAACAGATACGCTGAATAACCCTGACACTGTACGTGCAGGCAAATTAGGTTACGTGAAGGCTGCTGCTGCCGAAAGATATAAAAAGAGAGAAACGTTTAAATGCATATTCTTTGGGTCTTTCGGTAAAGTCACGTAGATGGTTCAAAGAAAATAACAAAAAAACTACGACGTTTCGATCACAACACAAGCGATCGTCATCAACTGTTTTGCTTTTAATTACACCAAAAATTACGTGTTTACTTGCATATGTTCTCTGAATGTATTTCCAAGCATTCATCTCCATACGCTTCGTTGCACATGTTTCTGTTCCATTTAATTTCTGAATGTCCCCATTTCTGATCTGTGTCATTGCAGTTGCTATGTACCGATTAACATTTTTCTGGTTATGACTAAAGTGAGAACCGGTGTGTATTGCAGGATATATATATATTTTCACTTAGTTTTACATTTTGTATTACCAGGGCTCTCTTGCAGTAGAAATAATCACAATGTGCTCTTCCATGGGAAAATACAGAATACTCGAAAAGGTAAAGGTGCAGCCCTGCAATTGTTAGCTCGTGCCACTACTGACGTAAGAACCTCCAATAGAGGGAGCTCTAGGGAGTCACTCCAGTTGAGCGTTTCTCAAACTCTATTGGCCAAATTATAGAGTTGAAGATTTTGTGACTGCAACGATTCATACTCATGTAGGTAAAAAATAAATCATACAAATAAATAATAAAAATAATAGAAGAAATAATAGAAATAAAATAATAAATCACGACGTTTCGGAGGCAACACAAGCTTCCGTCTTCAGGTGGAACCGTCACAGCACAATTGCTGTATCAAGTAAAGAGAAATCCCAAGAGACCCGACCTTATATATACTGGTTGAGGGGGGAGGAGCCAGGATGGGCCGCGGGAGAGGAGTTGTTGTGCCAAGGTTAGATGGCATCTACATAACAAAGGCTCAGTCCCAGCAGCAGCAGCCGCAGCCGTACTAACCATCTCACAACAACTCCTCTCCCGCGGCCCATCCTGGCTCCTCCCCCTTCAACCAGTGTATATAAGGTCGGGTCTCTTGGGATTTATCTTTACTGTATTGGTCTGCAAACCACTCAGCCGATGCAAACACTTCCGCGGACTACCCAGCCCCCCACCCCAAGTGACAAAACGCAAACAATTCTCACTAAATGCCACTCACACATGAATCATTTAACCAGAACATACAAAAAAATTGACACAGCTATACTTTTTTTAAGGGGGACATTTAGATCTTAGGGTTAGGATGGTTTCAGCAGGGTTATTTACCTAACTTAATTTTAAATTAAATATAGTGAGTAAAATATTAATTTACGTCGGTAATTATTTCCGAATCAACCTGCGTTTGCAGAACAGCCCCGCGGACGAGACCTGGAGGACCGTCGCGGACCACTGGTGGTCTGGGGACCACACTGAGAACCACTGCTCTCGAGGTATTCTGATCCACTCTTCAACACTGACCAGATCATTTTAGAAGATGTGAAGAATATCCAGACTTGATTTGAAGCGTTCGTGCTGGCAGGAATCCATACTCTTTGGTTCTTTCGGTAAAGTCACGTAGGTATAAAATAAAATAAATCACGCTTTCCCACCTGAGGATGGACGCTTGTGTCGCGCCCGAAACGTGATTTATTTTATACCTACGTGACTTTACCGAAAGAACCAAAGAGTACAATATCCAGACTGTACTCGACCAAACATGACCTGCGGATTGTTAACTCAGAGGTGGTAGGATTATAACTAGAATGTGCCCATTATTTCAACTGCCACGCCAGGAGATCGAACTGGCGTCATCTAGATTGTAAGTCAAGTGTGCTCATCGTTACACCATAACAGCGTTCATTTGGCAAAGAATACATGTCAGTTATGAATTAAGTAGAACAAAATGCGCACCAACCACTGCCCCACAGACCTTCAGGGCATGCTACCACCCCCATATGAACGACGCCGTGCCACCGGATTATGTACAACCCCTTGCCAAGCCACCAGGCCCTTGCCCCCACCACCCAGTTGCCAGAACATGCTCCCTGGATAACACATTCCTGCGGAGGGAGCTGGTAGGAACGTTGGGTTGCTCGGTCAATGGCGGCGTGGTGTATTCCGCAAATATGCCCGACTGTGAGGGCGGGCACAAGCCGGCGTGAGTAGGTTAAACGTTGAGTTTTATAAGGGTGTAGTGGTGTTAACTACTCGCTGTTCGCAAACTGTGAGAGCGGATCATAAACAAGGTTTTCCCGCTCGATCAAACGGTCAGGGTCAAATGGGGTGAGGTAGGATCCAAACCCAGATTGGGAAGGACCAATCAGAGGGTCCCACAAGGTGGCCGGGGATTGGACAACCCGGCCACGAACAGGTATAAAAGCCAGAGCGCTGAGAGCTCTGGAGGAGTTCTGCTACACAAAGACCCAAGTCGGCCGAAGACGTTTAGGGCCCTGGACCAAGCCCTCCAGCCCTTATCAGGGCTAGGGCTCAGAGTAACCAGTGGTCGGGGAGAGATCCCCTAGGTCCAGCCAGAGGATGCTGGGAGAGCAGGGAGATTAGATAGCCTGCAAAGTCCGGAGGCTTGTACCTTCTGAGGGTAACGGGTGAGGGGACCATATACCCCTTAGTGTGATAGGGACGGTGTATTAAGATAATAAACTGTGTGTTCCATAAAGAAGTGTAGGAGTCCGTCCTTACAACACTACAAGGGCACCACGGGGTGACCAGCCCCTCCCCACCCTCCCCTCTCCACCCAGCCCGACCCTTCCCATTTTGGTATGCACGACGGACGGACACAATAATCCCCTGTGGGCTGAAGGAACCAGGTGGTTCCTACCAGAAGCTCCCTTCTTCTTCACTCTGCTGTCTGGATTTGAAACTGTCTCCCCAAACAAATTGTCGGCGAAATCACCGATTCTGATCTTTAAGCCTTCAAAGGCCGAGCACACACATGGACATCTCCGAATTTCACCACACGCCTTGTATGACCGATTCGTTGAGCTGTAGTGAACCAATAATAATGTCCATTAGATGTAATGTCTGATATGGCGGTTGTTCACAATTGCATCCAATATATATATAAAAAAAGGAAACAACCAATTATTTTACTTTGGTATTCTCAACGTGTGTAATTGAACACAATTACAGCAGCCACAGAATTGTAGATGCTTAACATGCTTAACACGGCGTGAAATAAAAATGAAATCACAAAGCACAGCAGCAATTACAACGGACTGATGTAACACAAGAATAAGAAACTATGAAAGGGAAACATTAACAAGGCTAACATTGAAACCCTATGTTTGTTTAAAAAAATACGTTTAACTTCCTGAGTAGTTGAAGACGCTTCTCTCTTCTCTATAAATCTGCACGCAACTTCATTGGGAAAAGTCTTGGCTGTGTATGTTTACGCAAAAGGAAATGCAAACACACATTTCTCATTTGTAAAAATAGTTTTTTCAAGCCTATATTCCCTCTTAAACACCAAATCAAAGTGTTCATTAATGCGAGTAGAAAAGCACTGTTTAGTATGTATGAATGTTCATGGACGAAATATGTCCAAACGTGAAAACATCTAAAGAAATTGCTGTACTATGCTTAGTTCGGGTCTCTAACAAGTCACTGGTGAGTTGCGTTTACTAGCAGCACCGTACGCAAACATTATGCTATCAGACAATGTTAGCTCATGTAACTTAAGGTCAATTAATAGACAGTTCTGCATATGTATATTCCTCGTAAAAATAAATGTGGAACATTCACTGTGCACTAAGTTCTAGGATAAACTTTTTTGTTTTAGATAATTGGTGGTATTGACAGTTTCAGTGCTATTCATCTACGCAATGAGTACTAAACACAAACTTCTACTCGGGGCCTGTGTGCACGCATAGTAACATTTACAACCAGTACCAAACGTCTCCAAAGTAATAACACACCACGTGGAAATGCTGGCCTTTTCACAGAAACGTCACCAGTATCATCACAATTAAACAATTCTGTTCACAATGTCCTCCGAAATAAAAATTATTTCGTATTCTGATTGTTTAACTTTAAAACGTGTACAGATTAATGAAATGCGAGCTCGGCACAAATTGTTTCCATGGATTATTATTATTAAGAGTACTCGGCTACCATGTACTGTATTTAATCCAGGTATGCGCAGTTGGAAAATATTCTTGATATACTATATCGGGTAGGTTGAGGCAAAAGGTCTACAAGGGGTAAGATGCCTTTCTTTTTCCCTGGTGCAAACATAAATGTCATCAGCCATAATCATTTTGAGGTGCAGAATGGCACCCTCTTCTCCCAGCACCTGCCGATCGTGTTTGCAGTTCAACACCCCACATGTTAGCACCAGGACGAATAGGCCTTTCACCCTTACCCCGCCTGACTATACACTTCACAATATTCACGAGACTTGTAACTGAGGGTTACAAGAAATTTACGTCAAATTCGAATGTTTATTTAAACAAAGTGTGAATTAAATATTTGGCCAAATTGTGCAAACTTGCTCGTGTAATAAATCCTTTGACTTCCCGCCCCATCAAATGAAGGGCAGTGACTTCCAAAGATGTCACGATCAACTCTGCACTTTGAGACATTTGTAGTTGATACATTTTGACTGCATGCTGGCACAGTGATGTCAAAATGTACAGAGTACCAACTGCGTGAGCCGAGCGAGTGAGTTAATCCAACATCAGCAGACAATTGAGTAACCTGGAGTCATTGTCCCAGCTCTTTATAAATGTGTAAAAGCCATTAATGCTATTAGGTTTTAATAACAATTAATACGAATTAAGTTCTCTAAGAAGTGATAACTAGGACTGACACTTTAAATGTGTAAATGTGAACAGATTGCTTAAAAGTCAAAATATAAGTGGCATTTGAAATGTGGGGAAATGCCCAAACATTCCTTTTAGAAATCATAAAACTACGACAAGAGCAAGAGGTGATTGATTTCGTAACACCTGTGCTGACAGTAGAAGCATAATATTGAATGACGCCACGAAAACAGACATCTTTTGCTGCTATGTTAGATTGTACAATCAGTATAAATGTAAGAAAAATGTAAATAAAAATACGGTAACAATTCTTTAATAAATATAAACTCTCTTGGCATAAGCAGGTTCTTTAAAAACATTTAACTCTTTAAACAGTTTACTGTGTGAATGTGTACCCTTTAAGGTTACGTGAGGCACATTACCTCACTTGAACATTTTCTTAGCTTTCTCTCACTTTGACAATCAAAATTCTTCAAATAAATATCAATACAAAATACTTGACTGATGGTTTTACTATAATTGTCAGCCTACCAATGTGAAGGATTGTCAATTAATAGTTGTGTGGGTTACAGTGCGGCGGCAATAATAATCATAATTAAATTTGGAATTCGCGCAATTCTGAGGAGAGCAGGGAAATCGTGAAGACGCTAAGATTGAGACTAACACGGTCTGCCAGTAGGCAGTGGTGTTGCTATGTGTAATCCCACTAGAGTACTTCAAGCATCAGCGTTGTGTGGTATGTCAAGCGGCTTAGTTGCCCCTGTACTGGGGCTGCTGTTTGGAGCAACGCGAGTGTTGGACACGCGCGGTGCCATGGGCAGCGGTGGTCGACTTTGCTGGGGCTATTCGGCCTTGTTGCAGTACATATCCTTCAGCCCCTTGAGCTCCTCAATGAGGGTCTTGTTCTGTTTCTCAAGGACGGTGACGCGATTTTCCAGGCACTTCACGTACTCCTTCTTCTTCCTCCGACACTCCCGAGCTGCCTCCCTGCGTTCAACAAACACAAAGACAAAGGCCCCCCGTTTAGCCTTCACAGATTGTTAAGGCACGTACAGGTAGGAACAACAATGTTCCACACTGCCCACCAGGGATTATTTGTCTGTCTGTCTGTCGTGCATAGCCACGCCATCGATTTGTATTTCAAAGAGTGCTTCGGGCGGGCTCAGCACCACGTGACGCGCCGCCCCACGCAGCTCGCAGCCGTGTGACATGGATCGCACGAATGCGCTGTCCAACCAAGTTCCTACCTGCCCACTCCGAAGGAACGTGTTGCTGTTAATTAGCACCTATGGAGGCTGGCACGGCACACCAGTGGATGGGTGGCCAGCACCAGGCCCGAACACCCTCGTGTAGCCTGTAACAGACTGTTGGGGCAAGTACTTTTAGGGAGCACCTATAAGGGCTGGAATGGCACTCGAGGAGGTGGGTAGTCAACACCACACTTTGTCTCCATAGTGCCGACCTCGGGGAGGCCCAGAACCGGTTCAGATAATCGTCACTGGTGTCGACCCTGAGCAGGAATCGAACCCGGGTCACCGGGTTCGTAGTGCAGCACGCTAAACGTTATGCCACAGCACCCCACAAACACGCACAAGCGATATCACACACACGTGCAATGAAGTTCAAATGTGACTCTGCCAGCCACTCAGTATCGGTGCATCTTCTTGAATCTCAATCCAAACTGAAGTTTGGGAGAGTCAAGTACTGTGCTGTATGATCTCTGTTAGTTAGTGTTTATAAACTCTATGGTGCAACGAGGTGGATACGAGATGGCGGTGCAGCGAACACGTTTTCTCATACCTGTATTCCCTCATATGTGTGAAATTTGTCTGGCTACTTTAGTATCCTCCCACATTCAAAACATTCCATAAAATAGTGTTTGGCCAAATTTCTCAATTCACAAGATCTTGATTAAAAAAAGGCTCAGTGGTATACATGGACATTATTGAATACACGTATTTTTTGCTTAAATAATTACATAATTACGTACATAACCTTAATTGTTGGTATGAAAATATCAGAGTTTTGCAATAATAAACGTACAAGGCCACAACGGTCCCGCAGACAAAAACATGGGATGTCATGGGCAAAGGGGAGGAAATAGACATCCCACGTATAAACTGTTCAAATAACTACATTATCTGTACTCAGTGGGTCCCATTTCACATGGCATCGAGGACTTCCAGAGGATGAGAACATTTTAACTAAATAATAGCCACAAGTGTTTAAAGGCCAACATTGCAGTGCATTTCCGTAAACTCTTCTCCTTACTCATGTTTAGATCTCTTAGAGTTCAGCATCACTCCAATCAAAGACAATATCACCTGGTGGATGGCGACTATGCACGCCTGTGATCCAGCACCGTGCAGGCGAGGATTGGTGGATCACACAAATGTTGTGAAACTCCCATCAGCGTCGAGGTGTCATACCCGGGCTTGCCAGAAGGCGCTACAGCAAATGTGGACCCCCATCTGCTCTATTGGTATGGGATTAGAGTGTTGCCCCTTCGCACGAGCATATTTTCTCCGGGTACTCGGGTTTACCCCCACTGTAAGCAAACATTCGTTGGCTGATAACGGCTTAATATACAGAGGACGACAGAGCTTGGGGAGGAATTTGGTGCCAGCTTACTGCCTGGTCTACCTTTCCCACTTTGTCTGTGGATCCTCACGCCTCTGGGTTGTTCTCCCTCTTGAAGAGTGTTACATTTTGACGTGAAATTAGTATAGCTTATGCCTGTATTTGTAGTGCTATCATATAGCTTACTGTTTCCTTTGTAGCGTATAGAATTTTCCGATGATAAAAACGGTAGATTTTCCTTGTATCTAACACCAGGGGGCAGTCAGCCTCCAGTGTTCCCCAAGACCAGCTAAAAGAGATGTCTTTTCACCCAGGACACAAAGTACGGTTGTTAAAAGTTCCTCTTTCACATTAACCGGTAATCACCAAATGAAAAAATAAACTGGTAATAAAAAAACAGTGACCGGTTTGGGAATATTTGAGCAATAAAAAAAAGCACATCTTCCCCTTTTAACTGAAAATCGAAGGACGTTGCCATGTATTTTTTCTACGCTGACATTCTAAAAGCCAGAGCTTCTCCAAGCTCAAGCGAGTGTTAGGTGGCGCTCATTTCTATATTGGTGGCCATTACCAACCACTGTCATGCAAAATTAAACACCCAAGTGTGGTTTAGTACAGACTGCAGATGGTGTGCAACTACAGTAGAGTATTTTTGGTTCTTTCGGTAAAGTCACGTAGAATGGAAATAATAATATAATAAAAATAAAACAATAAAATTATCACGACGTTTCGATTGCAACACGACCAATCATCATCAGGTGTGAAAACCACAGCAAGAACATTTTCAAAACCACAGCAAGAAAATGTTCAAATTTTCTTGCTGTGGTTTTCACACCTGATGATGATTGCTTGTGTTGCAATCGAAACGTCGTGAGAATTTGATTGTTTTATTTTCATTATTTTATTATTTCCCTTCTACGTGACTTTACCGAAAGAACCAAGAATATGAATCCCTGCAGTCACGAAAGCTTTAAATCAAAATTTACAGTAGAGTTTATAAGCCTGCAGAATCAACTGAATAAAATGGACTGCACGTATTCAGGACAGTCTCTTGAGTCTCCAGACATTTTCAGGAGGGTCCTGCATTGCGATGTTTGGCCAATTCCTTTCTAATGAGCATTTTATTTTACATGGCAAGAAAACTGTAGCACCCAGAGAAAACCCACCCATAATGAGGGCTCAACCCACTTGCTCTGCTGCACTGCCATCTTCTGGCCACACCACAGCTCAGTGTATTTGGGAGTTTCACAAATCTCTACGTGACCCACCAACCGAAAACTTCACAGGGCTGGATCACAAGCGTACATCACAACGCCTGGCGTGATCAAAAGGGAAGTCAACAATGGCTTTCTCGCATGTGTATCACAATATTTATTCAGACTGCAGGAATCCGATGGGATATGAAGCTCTTTTTCAGATGTCTAGAATGACTAAACGAGTGATAGGAATTCCATAATGCTGTGCTTTATGCTTGGGGTGGAGTTTTTTTCTCTCAATGTTTACATTAAGTATGCAGCTTATTATGGATGCTGCCGCAGTGGAATGATTGTCACACTCGACTTGAAAACCAACGGTCGCTGGTTCGTTCTCCTGATACTGCGGTGCAAGCAATGGTGCAAGTTTCATAAATCCCCCCAAACACTATCCACCCACCAATGGAAAGCTCTTCTTTCCGATATTAGGAAGCCACCGGAGCTATGAACTTTTAAATCATCTAGATTGAAAACTCTTTAAAACTGCTTGTGTTTTAGCTACGTACAGTGCGAAAGCAGTTCAACATACATACACCCAAGCTGTATAAATGCGTACACCACAGTTAATCAATCGGTAGAACACATGCAGTGGTGTAAAGCGTGGGTACTTCCACCTCTTTCAAGACGTCTGGCGAGCATGGAAGAGTAGGCTATGGTTCCCTCCAGTAGAGGCCCTTTGGCAAGCAGTCACATGAGCAAGTAATTTCAGGGACTGCACCTCTACATTTACAGTCGTGTATTTGTTGTCTGTCATAGTATTTTGGTTACACCAGCCCACAGGGGATTATTGTGTCCATCCGTCATGCATCTAAAAATGGGAGGGGTGGGGCTGGGTGGAGAGGGGAGGGTGGGGAGGGGCTGGGTGGGGAGGGTGGGGAGGGGCTGGGTGGGGAGGGTGGGGCTGGGTGGGGGGTGGGAGGGGTGGGGCTGGGTGGGGAGGGGCTGGTCACCCCGTGGTGCCCTTATAAAACTCAACGTTTAACCTACTCATGCCAGCTTGTGCCCGCCCTCACAGTCGGCCATATTTGCAGAATACGCCACGCCGCCGTTGACCCTGGCCATTGACCAAGCAACCCAACGTTCCTACCAGCTCCCTCCGCAGGAATGTGTTATTGGAGGAGTTTGTCTCCAAGGATACTTATACTGTACCTGTGAGATGATGGAAGCAGTCAAACTTCATGTTTACATTGCAATGAAAATCGACGACGTGGTTAAAACAGATGGAGCGAGTTAAAGTATTTTGTCTTTGAAAACACGGTTAAATAGAAGTGTAAATGAACAGATTGTGCTCATTAGTGTCCGCCTCATTGAATGAATGCTAATGGCATTTGATAGACTCCAGAGGCTGAGAATTCTAAAAGAACAAAGGCGTCGAGACAATAAGACTATGGCGTGAAATGTAAAGTTGCCCTGCTTTCAAATACACAGCGCTGTGGCAATGTCTACATCTGGTGAGGCGCAGTTAAAGAGGCGATACTGCCTGGAGTAGCAAGCCGAGTTACACGCGAACACAGGATGTGATGCTGCAAATAGAGCTGGGATCTGAGTAACACACTAAACGATGACTCTACCAATTATAGATGCAATTACATTGAATATAAGGAAAATACTGCGGCCGGGAAAAAAGGCATCATGTTTAAAGTACTGTGAGCTGCTGCATGTGAAATGCGTGAGAATGAGTCGTGCCACAACCTGAGAATGAGATGCAAATTGAATGTGCGAGAGCCGAGACGTCTTCATTTCCTTTGTCATTAACACTGGCTGATAAAAAATATATATGAAGCCGGTTGCATGTGTTTTGTAAGCTCTTCCAGTCCACTTGCTCCGCTTGTGGCAGGCTGTCAACAACTCACGATTATTTCCGTTCTGCTAAATTCCTGGAGTGTATAAACTCTCCTTGATGTGCATTATCTCCGGGATAAATAAAGATTCTGATTCTATCAAAGTTTCTAAATCTCAAGACCCTTTAACGAGAGGATCTTGCATTCATATGTTTGGCCAACTCTTTATGGTATATCATGGGACCTCCTTTGCCAGTACCAAAATATGATAATAGGGTTTTCCCATTTTTCTGGCAACAAAACAGGTGTTAAGATGTTAAAACACCAAATTGAAACCTTTACAAGGAATCATGTCTGCATTAACCACAATGCTTGTGGTTAGAATGCAAAAAAAACATACTCTGATAAGAAATGCATTGACTTTGAAACTGATTGGTCCACACCAGACAGATTTCTTTTGAGCCTCGTCTCGTTTTGTTGCCAGAAAAAAATGGGAAAAATGTATTATCATATATTGGTACTGGCAAAGGAGGTCCCATGATGTAGTAGATGCTCACCCCGAGCTCTCATTACTCTGATAGTGCATTGTCTTTGGGCAGTACGCCTTTTGGCGTCCTCTGGTCTAACACCGTTTGAGACGAGGCTTAAAAGAAAGCTGTCTCTGGTGTGGACCAATCAGTTTCAAGGACAATACATATATTATCAGTCACTACAGAGTGAAGACACAGTGTCACACTGCATCAACTACGTGCGACTGAACTCATTCGGTGCGCGTGTGACATCAATGGCACGGTAACGAACTTAAGAAGCGGAAAAAACATTCTGGCGCCTCCTAAGCTTTGCCGAGTTGGCCTAACAGAGCCCCAGCGCGGCCCGGCTGTGCAACCAAAACGAGGGATCAGGGCCACCTCGTAGACCTTCCGGCACCTGCCTCACGGCAATGCCTGCACGGCCCACCAGCCAGAGGTGCGTTACAAGCGTGCGACGAAGTCCACTACGTACCTGTTCTTGAGGAGCCGGATCTCTCGCTTGCGGGTCACCTCCTCCCCGATGTACATGCCGCCCTGTAGGCCCGAGGGGGAGGCCACGGTGGCCATGATCACCCCCTGCTGTCCACTCGAGCCGACCGTGCAGATCTGGTAGGTCTGCATGTCGCTGGGAGCCGCTGCAAAACAAAGATCCCCCGTATAACCTTAACGGACTGTAGGAGCAAGTGCTGTTAGCGAACACCTAACAAGGCCGGCATGGTACACGAGGGGGTGGGTGGCCAGCACAACACCCGGCCGCTTTTGTCTCCCGAGTGGCGACGTTTATGCACCAAACCAGGTACTCATTGAGCCCGAGTCGACCGAGTGAGGCCCAGGACTGGTTCAAATAATCATCACTGGCATTGGCCCTGAGCGGGAATCGAACAAGGGTTGCCAGGTTCATAGCGTAATGCGCTAACCGCGACGCCACCGCTCCTCACGTACACACACGGGAAACGTTTCTCTCAAATCACAAGCGCCCAAACTTGGCAATGTTGGGCTAACGTTGGCATGTGGTTGTAACCGCTGGGCCAACGTTGGGCCAGCGATCCATGTTTACTCGTAAAAACAGGGGATCCTAGTGACCATATTTTGGGTGTCATAAGCAGCCATGTAGTGTGGGGACACAAAGTCAGGGGAGGTACACCTCAATGTAAAAACAAACTGAATGAGTGTGTACGAGGACTGGAAGATACCTACGTGACATTACCGAAAGAACCAAAGAGTATGGAAGATAACATTATCAGCTGGGGGCTTAGCCCCCCACCATTCCAACCTCCCCCGATGTGTGAGCAACAGGACATTAAGTGTATTCGATGGAAACCCCTTGATAGCGTTACGATTAAAAGGACGAGGAGTGCAGTACATGGGTTGTTGTCTTTGAGAGCATTTCCAACCTTCATATGTGGACGAAAAACATAGGAAACCTCCTTCCATCATCTTGTCTCGCGGGTGACCGCGAGGGGGCACCGGCGGGGTGGTGTTTGGCTGTATCGGGCTACAGACCTCACGCAATTCTGACAATCGACGGCACGAACGTTATCTTAATTTCAGAGGCCGAAAACATGCACCCCCACCAGCCTTTCCTCCTTCCCCTCTTTGGTGTGTTATTGTCTTGCCGGAGGAAAATAGGACCTCGCTTTGTGCCCTTGACCCCGGTGTGAGCAACGCCGACGTGGTTAATAACACTGGTCAACAAAAAAAAACATTTTTTTCTGGCCTGGAATGTTGCAGCTGTTTTAGACTAATTTCAGGGTGCTGATTCCAAATCTGATCTCAGATTTGCTCTATCACATCTCATTTTATGCTATCGGCATACCCCATTTTCATTGATTTTACCCGAAATTAACTCTCTCACTTATGATTGCAAGTTGATGCGAGTCAGTGACTGCTTTAGTGTTAAAATATGGTGCTGTATTTTTAGGATAGTGTTTATAATATCATTTTATGTAGATATCCACATTTATTTAATATTTTTCTTCTGCAGTTTTTATTGAAAATGCAATAATTGATAATCTCAAGAACCTGATGTGATAGACAAAAACTGATGCCAGATTTGGAATCAGCACCCCAAACTACATTAAAACCGTAGAAATACCTTGTGTCAGAAAGTGTGTTGACCAGTGTAATGCCTGCATGTACTGTACTTGTATTTTTAGCTCTGATTCTACTTGGCGTGTCTCGTGCCTTTGTGTTTTGTCCTTGTGGGTGCCTGCATCTGTTCATATTATCAGCAAGTACAAAATCCCACGAATTCAATCATACACGAAAATACAGTACTGTGCAGGGTGGTTCAAATGTCTTGGCCCCCCCCCCATTTTCGAAAACTTTACATTGTCGAAACTTTACATTTTATAAAAGGTTTATTTAAAACAAAATGAATCTGCAAATTAACCAAAAAATTGGGGGTCCATTAATCGGAGGCCACAAGACATCTGGACCACACATATCTATTGTAAATGCTATCGTTATTGTCCGTGATGAATACCGACTATTGTAGAGGCCTTAATCCAGCAGTGGATGGATAATATAGTTTTGTATGTGTGTCGTATTGACGGGGACTTAATTTCTCAAGTCGAAATTCTTTCAAAACGCATTTGCCGAGCCTGCTTTTCGAACACGTGGGACGCCAGTGAACATGGACTTGCAGGGTGACCGGTTTCACATTGGGCCACTGCACAAGTTTCAAATTAATTAGTTAATTGTTTTACCATTACACAGCCGAATACTAATGTTGTTGTGCAGTATTCGTAAAATCGCACGTGCTGTAACCAACGTTTGAACTCTGTGCACTCATGCATCGAACACTAAAGTTACGGACCAATTTTAGTGAGCCACGAACTACAGTACTGTATACATTTAAGGCATTATTGATGTGAAACGCACTGTACCGATAATACTGTACGCGCTCAACAAATGTTGTGGAGTTAACGCAAATGTGCGGCCAGACCTGCTGCGAAACGTGCACTGTACAACACGTGTGTGCACAACACGTGGACGATCGTACAGTGTACGCTGTATTTTAACACAACAAACGGCACAGGTCAAACGTCGTCACATATTCAAGTCCTGCATTGAGCAAATGTTGCGAAAAGGCAACGGGAAGGAGGGAATGCCAAAGTCCTGACAGTGCGGCGAGTGAAGAAACGGGGAAGTGCTTGTGACCTTGCTGTGTTGAAATAAAATCGAAGGGTCTAAAGTTGCGTTTCCCGTTACGCATTTTAATTGTTGCCCGTGTGAGATGAAACCGGCGAATCCCAAAAGACACACACATACGAAGGGACAACTTGAAAGCACCACACAGATTTCAACCCGCTTTTGCTACAGACTGGCTCAGCCGAATTATTGAGATTCAAATCATTTCACCGGCAGTCACCATCCCTCTCCTCTCGCCTCCCAAACATGCAGCGTTTCGAGTCGCGTGGGTGGGTAGTGGTGGTGGTGGATATTACATCAGAGAGCAGAAAGCCACGCGGTTGGGGGTGGAGATCCCCAAATACGACGCGGTCGAGTTCCGTGACGCATGGACACGCCGAATTTTCCGTCACCCCCCTCCTCCCTTCTCTCTCGCCGGTGTCTGTGGCTGCGAGGGTTTTGCAACTCCACCACCACTACCCACCCCCCAAACACCACCAATACACGACATTCAGTGACATCACCGCGGCGCCTGTGCCAGGCCAGGTGCACTTTGAGGCCACGTGAAGCGTCGAAGGCTTGCAGGGTTTCGGGGGAGCCAGACCCAGCGATGTGCCATGGGGTTGTCTGACTGGGATGGCCGCTATTATTATATAGGAGCGGTCACCCAGCCGCCCCCAAACCAAACCCCACAGAATCTCTTCCTCCCCGCCACGAACGCACGTGGCGGCTTGCGTCTGGCGCCGACGTCACCCGCGAATGACGCACGCGGTGGGTGCGTGCTGACGTCACGACGCACGCGATGGGTGCGTGCTGACGTCAAGACGCACGCGGTGGTGAGTGCTGACGTCACGACGCACGCGATGGGTTCGTGCTGACGTCACCACGCACGCGGTGGGTGCGTGCTGACGTCACCACGCACATTCGACCAATCGATGATCTTATCTTTTGTACATGATTGCATAACATTACGTTTTTAGGTGTTGTGTACACGTTTTTTGCGTTTTAAATGTGTTTACTACGTTGAAATTGGCATTTAATAAAACACACACATACCCCGTAAAATAAATACCCTGTCGATAACAGTTGTTGTATTTACCGTGCCGTGCTTACGAGGTTCAAGTTCAAGTTCATTTATTAGGTATAGCCCTGTGAGCCATTCAGCTCTTGAATCGGGTGCAACCGCAACAAACAAAAAACAAAAACATGAACAAAAAAAACATCTTAAAGTGAATATGTGACTAAGTGCAAACAGAAAATCCAAGAAAAGACAGCAAAAATATTGCAGAAAAAACACCGTACACCAACGCTGTGTGCAAAAATGCCAGTGGTGACTGATGCCTGAGGTGACGTCCACACGACGATCTCGTTTAAACATCCCCATGTGTTTGACGATACGAACGCGGAATAACAACACGCACTTTTGCGAAGGATCGCAGTGTACTTGTCCTGCTTTTCATCACCGCGGTTATTCGTCGTGACAAATGTATACACGCGCAGTGTTTTCATTGTTTTAAGTTGTTTGTTTGTGGTGTTTAATGTACCGTATTTCATATATATTTTACACTGAAATCAAGCATAGTCACTGTTTTGATATTGTCACGGACGTGGTGCCGATTCGCCGGAGCGGTTTTGCCGCTTTCGTCGGATTGGCCCGGAAAATATTGGAAGCAGCCGGATAATCGATGATCAATTGTATTTCATACGGTAGGAATCAGATGCGCTATAAAGTTATTGTTTTTCTCTCTCCACACATGTCCAGTAGGGGCGGGTCAGAAGGTTGCAACAGCAAACAATTCAAAACACGAGACAGGATTGCGAAGTATCTAACCTATAATGGAATCACTTATAACAAATAAAAACAATTAATCTTACCTGGCCACCACAAATGATTGCGCAACGAAGTGTGACGTCACCACGCACGCACGCCTTGCGTGTGGGGTGATAAGCAGATGCGCGTGCTGACGTCATCACGCACTCTTTACGTGTGCGGCGATAAGCGGGTGCGCGTGTTGACGTCACCACGCACCCACTCTTCCCGCGCCGGGCTGATAAGCGGGTGTGCGTGCTGACGTCATCACGCTTCACGCGCCGGGCTGAAAAGCGAGCGTGCGTGCTGACGTCACCACGCACCCACGCTTCACGCGCCAGGCTCAGCGGGTGTGCGTACTGACGTCACCACGCACCCACTCTTCCCGCGCCGGGGTGATAAGCGGGTGTGCGTGCTGACGTCATCACGCACTCTTTACGTGTGCGGCGATAAGCGGGTGCGCGTGTTGACGTCACCACGCACCCACTCTTCCCGCGCCGGGCTGATAAGCGGGTGTGCGTGCTGACGTCATCACGCTTCACGCGCCGGGCTGAAAAGCGAGCGTGCGTGCTGACGTCACCACGCACCCACGCTTCACGCGCCAGGCTCAGCGGGTGTGCGTACTGACGTCACCACGCACCCACTCTTCCCGCGCCGGGGTGATAAGCGGGTGTGCGTGCTGACGTCATCACGCACTCTTTACGTGTGCGGCGATAAGCGGGTGCGCGTGTTGACGTCACCACGCACCCACTCTTCCCGCGCCGGGCTGATAAGCGGGTGTGCGTGCTGACGTCATCACGCTTCACGCGCCGGGCTGAAAAGCGAGCGTGCGTGCTGACGTCACCACGCACCCACGCTTCACGCGCCAGGCTCAGCGGGTGTGCGTACTGACGTCACCACGCACCCACTCTTCCCGCGCCGGGGTGATAAGCGGGTGTGCGTGCTGACGTCATCACGCTTCACGCGCCGGGCTGAAAAGCGAGCGTGCGTGCTGACGTCACCACGCAGGCTCGTGGTTGTTGGTGGTGGGGAGAAAGTTGGCAGAGAATGGAGCACATGGTGGCGGTGGTGGTGCATCTTGCCAGTCATCTCACTCAGTCAACCCATGGCGCCTGGGTCTGTTCCGTGACCTCATCCTGCCAGCGAGCCTTTGTTGAGCTATCATTTGTAGACAGCTCGCTTCTGAATAATAATCTTAATAGCTCAGTGGGCTTTAGCTGGCAATATAAATAAACTAGTTTTTTGTTTGTATACAAGTTATTCGTTTACCTTTCCTATACTTTGCAGTCTAATCGTGTTTTTGTATTTTTGTTGTAACGTTCTGACCCCGTGTCCCTGCGGGTAATGTGTGAAAAAGCGCTTCATAGCCCATCAGATTCTTTCAGTGTCAATACATAGTCCGATTCCGACACTTCACGTGGCCTTAGTGCACCTAGCCTGGCACAAGCGCCGTGGTGACATCGTCACCGCCGCGGTTGTTGTTGTGGCAGCAGATCGGTTATCTCGCTGCGCTATAAACCCGGCAAACCCCGAGTTCAATCCTGGGCATCCCTTAGGTCGACTCAGCCTCAAATGGATACCTGGTGCTATGTGCAACCATCAACACTGGTGGGGAGATGAATGTGGCGGCCGGTCGTGGTGTTGGCCACCCGCCTGCAAACCTCGTGTGCCCTGCCAGCCTTCATAGGTGCTCGCTAACGCCGCTTGACCCCAACAACCTGTGCAACGTCTCAATGGGTGGTGACCTTTGTCTCTGCGCTGACGTGATCGTGACGCCGTCACTTCCCAGAGCAATGGTTCCACTACGCTGCTGATCGGAGGAGCAATAGTGAGAGATTATTGCCCACCAATGCCTGAGTGAGTGAGTGGTGTTGGAGTCATTAACCGACGTGGAAAGCCCTTCCAGCAAGTGTATAGACAGTCAGGATCTGCACCATGATCTCTACACGCACATGGTACTTTATGCACAGGCAACGACCATTACGAATCCCAAGTCCTAATCACGGCACGCTTTTGTCAAACGAGTTGAAGAGGTTGCGTGTTGCCATATTAAACCAGGTACCTGGGTGAGAATTCGCAGCCACGGCTAAAGCGAGATCTGAAACCCGTTCTGCACCCCCATCTCTCCCATCCCCTCGTTTCTGGACATCTGTGAAAATACTGGACATCTGTAAAAAAATAGCTTCATAGCTCATCGGATTCCTCCAGTATAAATGCAGCTTCTGATCATGTTCCCACCCAAATAAGTTCAAACAACTCGCATAAACTAAACGTTAACATTGTCTTAAGAAATCCGTACACTGGAGAAACTGGTTGTCACAAGCCTACGGCAATCGACTGCTTAGATAAAAGCCCCAAACCCACGCTGTATCGGTCATAGGG